TGTGCTTCGCATTTAAATGCAATTTTTAGTGCTGTTTTTTTCAGCTTATCAAAGACATAAATTGTTATTTCTGCTTGAAAGTATTGCTCACGAAAGAGAATATCAAGCGTTGCATTATTTGTTTAATAGAGAATCTTGATTGTTTGAAAAAGAGATCGGAAATAAGATATAAAAATAATAAAGATGTTCTTTCAAAGTTAAATAACAGTTTGTTTGGTACAGAGAAAGAATACGAGAATATCTGCAAAATTACTTGTTTTCTAAAGTTCCATTTCTTGTTTCTAATGATCTTTATTTATTTTATTCTAAATTGTATTGTATGTGTTTATTAATACATATACATGTTAGTGATATGTAAACGAATTAGGTAATCAAACATAGTTGCTAAAAATGCAATCGTCGTTGTTCAATTCTCCCAAGATTCTCTTTTCCGACCGCTTTTCAGAACTTTTGGCAAAGGAAAAACATTTCTCACGAACACGAAGTTTCTAGCAAGCATCGTGCGTAACGCACTTTACGTGATGCGAGTGCTGTGAATAACGTTCTTGCGCGGCCGGCAAGAATTTTCTGAGCAGAACGGCACGTCGAAGGTTTCACATTTCCATGGCGAGTTCTGAGCAGTACTGTGAAACCAGTAATTTCATTATCGAACTTCTCGCCTCTCTTTTACGCCGAAGTTTCTGGATCTCTGTAAGCTACGTAAAGACGAAGTAACGCAGATTGAAAGCTACCCCTGCTGTAAGCGAGCAGAATTTATCGACCGTTAAATAATAGAGAGTGTTAATTTTTGAATGTACCCGAAAAGTACTGTAAATGAATTAAAATGAGAGATATTAAATAGTTAATGCATATTCACGCAATAATAATTAATAATGCCTTCATTTTAATATACATATATTTTTATTTATTATACCTCTTTGTGAAAAAAAATGTTGATATTAAATTCTTCTTGGACATGTAAGCTATTTTGTGTCCAACTTGAAATGCATAGTATTAAACGCGTATAATTATCAATTAATTCTTAAACAAGATGCGCATAATTTTTCCCCTCTTTTTCCTTTCCGACCTATCCTCTCCAGCTGGAATCAAATTTTTTTCTCTCTCCGCGTAAGCCGACACCTCATTAACATACTTACAGTACTGCGTTAATTATGACTTTGTATTTACGAAAGTACATGTACTCATGGAAACCAACACTGTGTTTTTGCGTGCGGTCCACAAGTCGTAAATCATGCAAACGATATTTCTGCATGAATTACAACGTTTCTCCAAATATTGAGAATACAAAAGATGTAACAAAAAATACATTATAATAAATTAATTATAACAAACGAATATTTTTCTTTATAATTATGTTTGTTTCTAGCAATACTATCCAATGTTTTTTCTATCCAATTCTTGTTCTCTATTTAATTGTATATTATTTAATTAAAATATATTTTTTGTACTTTTTTTTTTGTAGAAATTTTGATACCCTTTTCTAGAAAAAATTCCTTAAGTAATAAAATCTTCAAGTAATTCAAAAATAAAAATGTTTTCCATATAACGTATAAAATTTAAAACATTATATTAAAATTGAATCAATTAATTTAGGGAAAGAAAAAGAGAGGGACAGAGATAGAGAGACGTTTTGTTGACGAAGTATTGAATAATATATCATTATCATAATACAATATATGTATACAGAGTGTACAAGTTTGTTAAAATTACATGTTCGGCAGAGTAAATAGTAGAGTACATCGATGAAAACAATTACGGATAATTTATATATTATATATTATCCTTATCCGGTGTCGACATAATAAATGGTGACAAGCGGATGATATATTATAACTATCTAAATATAATCATTGACTTACCTATTGCCGCATATTGGAATATATAATAATAAGCAAATATACACAACCTTTTATTCTGACGCAAAATATATGAACGCTTTTAAATTATCGTCACTATTTTCATTCAGTAATTTGACATTCCAATTTGAAATTGATGTATGTATCTCCAACAAACATATAAATTAATGTCATCTTGATAAAGGATAAAATTTTATTTTTGCTTAAAAAGCTGTAGAAGAAAAAATAACGGTGTTTCTTGGACATTCTGTATAAAACAGTTTTGAATACACAATATGGTTGTCTCCCGAAATTCTGAGGCAGTACGTCGGTTTCTGGCTTGATGGATAGCACCGTAAACACAAGCGAATTTTGCCGACGACATTTATAATTTATGTGAGTAGAAAATAGGGTGTCTAAGTCATTTAATACTTAACGAGAAGTACTCTGCATAATTTGATATGAACGAATATCATTAAGAAAGTATATAATTATGAAAAATATTAAGGCAAAATATTTGTTATTGAATTTCAAATATATTATTTAAAAAAAAAATAATTTTAGGAAACGTCTACCTTAATTATTTCACAAGATATTGCATGAAGAGACATGTACCTAAGTATGAACGTAATAATGTACAAATAAATATGTATAGAAAAATAACAAATTTTTAAGAAATTTTATTTCAGAAACTGCAAATATATATATAACCGCGGAATATTAAAGTAACTCGTTTGTTTGCAAAGTAAACGTTCGTGTTTGTTCGACATTGAAACTAATGCAGCAGTATTATAACATATTTGTGCAATCGAAGTCAATATAATAACTTTTACCTGCAAGCGATGGCAAAATACTTGGATAGAGAAACGAAAATAATTTAAATCACAAATTTGTTACTCTGACCAAAATAATCATTCAGAGGTAAAACAAAATGAGAAACAAAGAATGAACTATTTATTATTATGTACGCTGAAACAATCATCGATAAAACAGGTACAGCTAAACAAAATAAACATAAAAGTGATAAAGATAATAGGTACATCTACATATGTAACTTTTGAGATATAAATTTTAATATAAATTTTAGTTAAATCACATTTAGTTAAAACTAAGATACTGATCAATATTGAATAAATTAATGGAAGCCAATTATATCAGAATGGCAAATAAAAAGAATGAAGAGAGAATAAAAAAGCAAAAAAGGTTGAAAGACGATGAATAGGGAGAATTGTGGATGTTGTCTTTTTTGCGAGTGTTGCCTCGATTACGCGTGAATTTTCGGCTCCATCGTTGCACAATTTATGCGGACATGCGTGCAGCAGGTCGGTGAATTCCAGGTGAGAGATTTCAAAAAACAGTTAGCTGTGTGCTTTCACATATGTTCATATAAATGTGTCACTCGTAGAGGTGATTCATTCATATTTATCTCTAATTATATAGTGCAGAAAGAATAAGCCTCAAAAATCTCTCATATATAGAAATTATAATTTGATAAAATTTATGCAAAATAAAAAGTATTAAAATAAAGCAATTTATTATAAAACTTTTAAATAAAGTTTTATTTAAAAAAATACAGTAATCAATACAAAAGTCAAATTGATAAAATAAATCGCGATCTTTCAGATCTCAATTTTTATCCTTTATCTTTTATAATTTGAATTGCTAGCATAATATTTTGCATAAAGATCATTAAGATACAAATTATCTCTCATTATAGCGATATAAATCGATTCGCTTGCAAGCTTGCATGGGGGTACATGTATGCGATGTGCGCACGGAATGAAAACCTGTGATGTTTAAGCGAAACTAATATTAGAGCGATTGCAGCCGCGTAGTTAATAGAAACGTCGGTTTCATCCCCAGGATAATGAAGCACAGCTAGAACGAAGCGCCAACAGTATAGCATCGATTGCATCATCGGGTTCGAACGAGAAATTGCCATCGCGTATTCACTCATTTCGTCCTCGAATATCGTTTTAAAATGGTAGCGTCTTGAGCAACGTAAATGTGTTCAAGGTGAAACTCATTGTATTCGGAGAATATTAAAAAAAAAATCTATTATTGAATAGAGAGCTATGATATTAAACTGAATCTATGAAGCGGATATGAGATAAAAAAATATGTGCGATAAAAAAGTTATAAGTGAAAATAATTCAAATAATAAATGACAATTTCTAACATGTGTATATAATTATCCAACCCGATATTATTTGTTTGAGAAAAGGTCATTTTACTTACAGAGAATTAAAAAAATTATATCAGAGTTGATGTGAGTCGTCTCGAATATCGCGTGCCTCTGAAATAGGATTCGCAGAGAATTTTGCCAAACTGGAAAGACGGACATTGAATGCCGAAACGTCGATAGCTTTCAGCGACGTGACGTCGCCCGAACGAATCAACGAATTCTGATTTCTCGTCCAAATTATACTAGAGGATGCAATCAAAATCGGCGATCGTAACCCCCGGAGGCTTCTTCATTATTCGCGGACATTGAAGCCGGGGAAGCGGCCCTCTCCGTTCATGTTGGCATTGTTTGCGCAACAATCACGCTAACCGAATTATCCTGATCACATCGGGTGCGCGTTCAAACACGCGCCACCTCTTCGACCCTTTCCCACCTGCCATTTCCCCCTTTTCGCTTACCTCATCTGTAATTGATTGGGTTTTATTTGCACGATCCATTGCTGATACCGATAAAAAATGAGGATCAAGACATGCTTGACCTCTTTTCGTCTTCCATTCGAGAACACTTTCAAAAGAGTGCTTCAGTTCGCTTTTGACCACAAGGAGTGACCATAAGGATGTATTTATTTTGCCGATGTTAAGTGCTAGAAATTAATTCAAATGAAAGTAAGCGAAAAAATTTCTTTTATTTTTATCCTCTTAATTATTAATTCATTTTTTAAGTTCTTAAGGATGTTCCGATTTCCAAATACCGATTCATTTTGTGATAAATTAATTTTTCGAACAAGGCTATCTTAAACCGATCTCTTTGTAAAGAATTACTTTTTTTTTAAACAAAGAGAATTATTTTGCAGCGATTTTTTTATAAAAAATTAATTTTTAATGAATCTCGGTCTGGAGATCGCACATTTTTACAATCCTCTTCGGTTGATATTGAATTTCCGAATTTTAAAATCTTCTAATCTTCTCGTTTCTTTAGACATGAAATCTGGTCGGAAGAAATTAATGAGAATCGTAAGAAATGGAGTCACAAGAATCAAGTTTCATAGAAATAAATGCCAAAACAAACGATTCGACAAAATCTTACAAGCGTTGAATTATTTTTGCACTCATACGACTATTCATGGTCTTCGTCACATTGTTAATCCTGAATTACATATAATCGAGCGATTTCTGTGGCTTATTGTATTTGTAATATCTTCCACAATCGCCAGTAACGTGATTTATTCACTTGCACTTAGATTCCAGGTAATAAAAGTTTAAGATATTATATATTGTATATAATCTGTCATATATGTGTACATATATAGATATATACATATTCGGACTATTATATTTTGGTTCCAAGAAATTTTTGTGATATATATAAAAATCAATAATATAAAAACAATTTTGAACAGGCTTTAAAGCATCAATATGTACATTTATTTAGGACGCACCGACGTCGATTGACATCGAATCAATGCATTATGAGACTTCACATCTATCCTTCCCGAGCGTAACCCTTTGTCCGAATGACCGCGTTGATTGGAATCGGATCCTTGAAGTCGAATCAAAATTTTTCCCTAATGGCAAGGATAAGGCAAGTCTCGAAACTTTTCGAAAAATATTGAGCAAGCTTTCCATGATGAGCTTTGGGGATTTCGACCAACTAAATTTTCTAAAGAATCAGAGTGTTCATAGTCTCGCGGGTAAGATACTTATTTCTTTCTAAACTTTTCCATGCGAGTGTGATCGAATTATACTAGTTCTTTTAATTTTTAGTTAGAGACAAGATGTTGGTGTCTTGTGAAACGTCAGTAATTAATATATAAATTTTGATAACATATTGTTTAAATTAATTCATCTGAAATGTTTTAAGTGCATGTATATTTTATATTAAATGCGTTTGCACTTCTTTCATTAAAGTTGAAAAGTTAATAATTATTATTGAACAGGTATCAACATAACTCAAGTATTACTTGAGGTAATGCCGCGCTGCGATCAATTGCTGTCCTCTTGCTGGTGGCGTAACGCCAATCGTAATTGCTGCGAGATCTTCCAGGTGCAGAAAACCGAATACGGTTTCTGTTATTCGTTCAATTCCGAAGTAGCACAAACACCTCCAGCAGACCCTACGGAATCGCGACCACGAAGAGCATCTGGCTACGGTGATTGGAGCGGCATCAGGGTTACGATTCATCTAAGAAGCGTAATGAGGCCACCAGATTCTGGTAAAAGTAATGCCAATATACAATATTTTACGTTAGCAAGGCTACTTAATGACCTATACGACCTATATAAACCATACGCTATCGCGTACATATAGAGATGAAGCAAGAAGATGCTTCGCTAATACTCGTTTCACAAAAAAATATCATCTTGAATAAATGATTTCGAAAGTTTGGAATTGCAATGACCGAATATGCTGATTTACCTTCCAGTCACACTGCTGGTTATTGCCTTCACTTCGTGTTTGAAAGATTCAAAGCTTGATCAGTGCGAATTGAACAGCTTCATAGCTTTGCTAGACTTGTCTGAAAGTAGAAATGCTTCCAATACAATAACGCGTCTATAATAAATAAAACAAATATATATATATATATATCTACATATTCATTTTATATTATTGTACATATATACAAGATGTTTAAAAATCTTGGTACAAATGGAAAGGAGATGAGTTCTCATGTAGAAATAAATGGAAAATATAAAATTGTTTCGTATCAAACTCTGTTTTTGAGAAAATCAAATTTGAACATTGTCTCCATTTAAGAGATAATATCATACAAACGTTCGAAAAAGTGAAGAATTTGAACACATTATCATCGGTTCACGCGTCTTTAATTCTCCGAGTAAAATATCGTCATCTGCGACACATGAAGATTGATATTTTCAACAATTTTTCAATTCAACGCAAAATAATACTTCGAGACTTATTGCATTATTTAAAAGTATACCAAATTCAAACTGACATAGAAACAGCAGTGAATAGTCAGATTAAGTAAACCAAGTAGATTGTTTGACCGTGCAACCTCCACAATGCGCAACGGGTTCGCTGCGATATAATCAAGCGAATTGTTTTGCCTAAAGTCATTGTTCTAAACACGTAGGACATCAATTACGTTAAGATCATTGTGTTCTTAATGTTCGTTGCCGGGATATATTAAGTTGAATGATAATCGTGTTAACCGTTTAATTTTTGGCGCTTTATTTAAGTAAAATTTACATACGACTAATTTTCTTATTTAAAAAAAAATGATAAGTGGTTTTTAAAGAGAAAATTTATACCTTTTTATTGGTATTCAAACAAACTTAAAGAATACCGAGCATTATTTCGTTTTTTGTGAACGATTAAAATCAAAAATCACTATTTTTGCTTCAATGTTAAGTCAATGTTGAATAATTCGGTGAAAAAAATGTAATGTATTTATAATGCTTAATAAATCACAAATTAAAGATAAAGATTCATTCTTTTGTAAGTCATAAATTGCTTCTGTGTGATTTTGAATTTACGTCATGGAACTTTGCAAATTTCATAAAGTAATTTTGAGATTTAACTGATCTCCATTTGTATCCGTATAATTCTACAAAAAATTGATCAGACCATTATCTAAACTATCGATCTGAAAAGTAGAGACTTTAAGCTTTAAAATGCTTTTCGGATAATTTTATTATGATAATTTTTGACGGAGTTACATTCTCTAGAAATTCTATTTTTGGAGAATAGAATAGATGATTCTTTAATTTTTTTGGATAATTTTTTTATATTCATAATTATATCCTGGTTTAGCATTTTTACGCAAATTGTATGCATAATTTCAGTTTAGATTATCATGTATTGTTTGTTATTGCATTATTTGGACAAAGGGACATAAACGCATTATCTGAATAAACATTTAGCATAAATCCAAACTAGAGCCAGGGAGAGAGAGGAACCGTATAATGGCAAACAGGATGTAAACTCGGCTAAACTGACGGATTAATAACTAATATTATTTCTGTCGAGATCCGTTAAATGACGAAGTATACACCAACGACATATCGTTACTAATCCATCGTTATGCAAACGCGTCGCAGAGTCTCGCAAATATGATTTTAATATCCTCGCGAAAGCCTCCGACCACTAGGATGCATTTTGAATAGGATGCGACTTCCATTCTGCCATAATGTCGCTCCTTTATTACCCATGCGAAATGGAAAGGGATTTATCGTAAACTGCAAAATCGATATATCGGCGCCGTATTGCACGAGGCAGTTATTGAAATGTCGCCTTCAAAGAACTTCACGGTCCCTGTACTGGTTCTAAGCTGCTTTTACCGGATCTATCCAGTTCGGATTGATAAAAAAAAAAAAAAGAATTTTTATATAAAAGGTTAAAAATTGTATCTCTTTGAATATCATTAATTTTAATGTCTCAATAATAAATTGTTACATAGAGGAGGTTGATGGCATCGTGGTGATAATAAACGAGCCCCATGTCTGGCCCAACAGTGGTACTATGATACCATCGGGTTCGCGGGTCAGCATGTCTTTAGAATGTATTTCTGGATACGCTACTCAGCGAGTTCTCGAACTGGACAAGGATAAACAACCGTGCCAATACGATGAAAACGGCGTGTACCATCAGGAAACCTGCTTATCGCTTTGCAAACGTTACTGGGTTGCAAAGTATTGTGGTTGCAACCCGTCTTTCTATTTCCCCGCAAGTATGATTTCCTGCAATTAGCAAAATGACGTACTACAATAACTTCATTAACGTTTCGTTTATGTTTCAGCCAACCGTTTTCGTGACTGCACCATCGAGGATTTCATTTGTCTGATCACTTATAATGGTGAGCAAGCTTTCATTGGAAATTTCATTTGCATTAATATATATTTCGTGAATATATTTTAAATGTAATTGACCGAAATGAATATGATTTACTTTTGTGAAACGCTGAATGGCGACGCAAGATGTGTTCAACGACTACATTGTTCACTTTGGCGACGACTACCCACACGACATTCCTAGCATGATTTGCAACTGCTTGCCGGAATGCGACTACTATATCTACAGTACTCAGTTTTCTAACGTGCCATTACATAACATGAATGACATTATACTGGACGTACATTACATAGGGCAAACTAGTTTTCGCTATAAAACGGACATAGTTATCTCACAAATGGACCTCCTCGGTAAGTTCTCTGCATTTTTAAAACAATGTATGTTATGTACGTCATATTTCTTTCTCTCTTTATCTCACTGAAATCTCTCGCTTAGTAAAAACAAAAAAAGAGACGATAAATACATTCTTTGTTTAATTCATTGTTTATCGAAATTATAATTTATATTTATTTATATGCGTAAAGTTATACTTACAATTAGATTAGAATTTTATTCCGGAAAAATTAATAGTATATTATTAATATCGTAATTAATAAAGTCCCAAGTAGAATTTGAGAAATTTATAGAAACGAGATGAGGGAGACCGGAAATGGAAAAACGTAAAATGCCATTTTATTCAAATTCACTTTTGAGGTTTGCGGAGAACTTTAATTTGCGGTGCCTTAATTATTTCCCTATCTCTATTAGCCGTTCCGCGGTGGTTTCCCAGTGTATAATGAGTCCCGCGAGATACTAAGTTACGAATTCATATAGTACTCTCATGCCTTTTGCTCAAAATGTTTACGTGGCGGTTATCTTGGATATTATTCGTGATCATATCATAAGAAAATAAAATATCTAGCCACACAGTTGCATGCAGTGTATAAAATTGTGCCTAGATCATAGATTAACACTGGCCGCTTCCTGAAAATTAATGTTAACATGCAAATCACGCTTAGAGCAACCCGATTTCGATTTCGCTCAAGTTTCCATTACCCATCGACATGTTCCATCAGTGTCGTCGAATATTTTGTCACGATCATCATATTAATAACTTGAATAATTTGCATACTTAATTCGTTACAGTATCTTTCGGCGGTATAATCGGCTTGTTCCTGGGTGGCTCACTGCTCAGTGTTATCGAGCTAGTTTATTATCTGGTGAGTGCGATGTTTTCATCTCTACGATCGCGACTGAATACCGAAGAGCCGAGGAACCGATCAAACGTGACGCACGTCCATACGAGAGTGCTGCCCATCCTGGATTACAATCCTCTAAAACCGCGAGCGAGGAAAATACCGGTTTTCACGAATTACGGCCTTGCAGAATTGAATTTGAACAGATATTGAGTTACCGTGAAGTCTTTCAATGGCCGAGCCGCTTGGAGAGTTTGTATCAGCCGAGCCACCGCGAAATTTGAGAAGGTAAAATAAGAGAAGTTTATCTATACTCCCTCTGAATCGATATTTATATGTCGAAATGTGGACAGACGTTTGCGTGTGCAAACGCGTATATTCCGTTGGTAGAATTCTATACTCTCCAAAGTCGAGAGAGAAATAAAATTTTTTAAAACGAATTAGATATTTTCATACTAAATCGCCTGCGTGAATCAAGAGTGAAGAGTATAACTGTTTGTTGGATGCTCAACGGATTCTATCTCGTTTTTCATAGACATGTTGGTTATTGTGTTTTACCGTGAGGCTGTCCCTATAAATCAGAAAGTAGCTGCGATATTGATCGGATTTGACAAGGAAATCGAGAATGCCTTGTTCACGTGAAATCTGGTATCTATCTTCTAGAATCCATGTTCATATGTGTGTATATGTGTACATGTATGAGAGAAAGGGAAAAAGAGAGAGAGAGAGAGAGAGAGGGGAGGGGATGGAGGAGAAGGAGAGAGAGAGAGAGCAACTCGTATTTTATTCAACGTTATATATGATACGTACCTTCCATCTTGCCACTTTGCGGCCGCGTAATGCTTGACTTCAATAATATACGCTATACATTTTGCATGCATCTCAAGCGACTTCCTTGGCTTTTTTGAAATGGACTAGCGAGTCGAACAACTGTGCAACGACTACGTATATTTACTCGTTATTCGAGAAAAATATCATTAATAATATTAACGAGAAAGTATACAATGAACAGAGAAAAGTAAAAGAAGAAAATATATAATAAAAAAATTGTTGAATTCAAAGAGTGTTTGTGATAAATTAATTAAATTTTAAAAAATTAATGGTCGCGGAATTTATATTTTTATTAAGATTGCCTGATTTAAGCAGAAACGGGAAATGTAGATTTAATCTGATAATGAATTATTTAGGTACGTTATATTTCTCTACCACAAACACTCGATTAGAGGACTGCTAATAAGTAAGTTAATATATAAAGTGAATGTGTAAATTTTAGTTAGCATATTTTATTTCTAATTAAAAAATGATAAAAACAGAAAAATAAATTAATTTTTGCTTAGTATTTTCTTATAATACTTAGCTTTATGTTTCAAACTTTATGTTTTCTTCCTTTTTATAAAATAAACTCTTCCTTTATTCCTATATTTTATAAAATACAACTTTATGTATTTAATTATTTGAAAAAACTGAGTTTGGTTCAAATTATTTATTTAATTAAAATTATATTACAATTTATTATTTATAATTAATTCTGAAACGTGAGATGTATTGTATAAATATATTCTTGAAATTTTGTATATTATTCAGTTATTAGATCGCTGTGAAATATTATATAATGTTCTATTATGTAAAATTAAATTTTTTTCTAGAATTCTTACGCATGTCAAAATACCACGATATTATCGTATATTATGTAATTATTATTATTATATGTACTATATGTAGATATGTTATGTATATATTATCATGTGTTGATAATTATTATAGAAATATGAATCAATTAAGCATTTAATTATACTTTGAAATATCGAATATCATATCAATATTAGGTATTAAATTATACTTTGCAATTAAATATTATTTTATATATTAGTACAACTGGTGATAAAAATATGAACAAAATTTATGCACTATAAAAAAGAGAATATAAAATAAATATGTAATCACATTTAAAAAGTAACAATTTTACATTGAAAAATAAATTCTAAATTAACTTTAAAACTAAAATTAAGATAAAAATGTCCTGATACACACAAAAAGTGCTAAGGTTGCAATCCTATGTATGCTTTAGTAATCGTCATTTCACACCGTAAAGTGCTTGTGTCGACAAAACGCAGCCACAATCGTACAATTCGCAGAATTTTAGATGATCGTTGAAATGTATGAATAACGGGAATAAATCGCACAGATGGTCGTATATTCGGTGCACTCGGTAAATTGCCGGCCGCAGTTCACACCATTTGTGAGAGACGTACGCAAATAATGCATAAAGATCCGAGCATTGTCTTGCAACTTTAACGCCCGTGATACTATATCGTTATCGATATATTACATAATGACATTATTATAATACATAAGTATATGTATTTTCGCAACTATATTTCATACCTACTTAGGAAGAAAAGAAGTCGGGAAGTTTTACGGAAAATAATAGCAGGTTCGTTGTTACTAAGGACGCAGTTATATTTCGCGGCATAGCGATTTTTCAAGCTACGATGGACTGGGATTTTTCCTTTTAGACAACGCCTCGTTTTCACGCTATTGAAAATAACTGGCGCACTTAAAGCAGCAGATAAGACACGCGCCTCCCATTTTTCTATTTTCCAACGCGACACGCGGGAAATGCTTTAAAGCGTACGTGGTTGAGCCGGAAGTAAATGTACCAGCTGTCTGGCCAGGCTCCATTTGGCCATTTATTATTTATGAGAAGGATAGTGAAGAGAGGAATGGGG